TGGAAGTAGCTGAAACTAAGAGAACAGAAAGGACAGTTTAATTTGATTTCTTGGTGTCTGCTATCCGTTTATAATTCTGTACTTGTTATTATTTCTACATTGCATGTTATTTTCAAATAAAAAAATACCAAACCACTGTACATCTTCAGGGCATTCTTATTAAAAGGAAACAACACTTGCAAATACTGTTCTAGAAACTCACTACTCAGAAAAGTGGGGAGTGGGTAATAATATGTTAGCTGGTATTGAACAGGCACACATTTGGTATTCAGCAGATTCAGCTTTCTATTTTTTCTTTCTTTCTCTGAGACTGTTTAATGTATTATTAAAGTTTAAAAAACATATCAGATCTTTATAAAATAGTCTTTCAAAGGCTGCTAAGTTGTTCAGTCTGTTTTTCTGAACTTGTTTACATTTTCCTGAGGCAAAAAGATCAGTTCCTCTAGTCTACTTAATTATTTAACTTGTTTTGAAGATGTGCTGCATTTCAACTAAGGGATGGCTATAAGCAATAGGTGGAAATATTACCACGCTCTGCCCATAGCCCACCCCAGTAATCATTATTTCTGCAGTCCAAAGATAAAGTTAATCATGTACATATACATTAAGTTAAAGAAAAATACAGCAAATTAATAGCATGATGCTATACACTAAGAAGGGCCCCCTGGTGGCACAGCAGGTTAAACCACTGAGCTGCTGAACTTGCTGATCAAAAGATTGGTGGTTCAAATCCAGGGAGAGGGGTGAGATCCTGCTGTTAGCCCCAGCTTCTGCCAATCTAGCAGTTCAAAAACATGTAAATGTGAGTAGATAATTAGGTACCGCTTCTGCAGGAAGGTAATGGCACTTCATGCAGTCATGCCGGTCACATTACCCTGGAGGTATCTATGGACAACACCAGATCTTCGGCTTAGAAATGGAGATGAGCACTACCACCCAGAGTTGGACACAACTAGACTTTATGTCAGGGGAAACCTTTACCTTATACACTAAGAGAAAACCCAATGAAATTCATGGAGCTGCCGAAAGTTGATGGGTGACTTAAAGGCACATAAAGACAGGTTGCTCTTTTGTGTGTGGCCCTCTTGCCTTGTCCTTCTATTGCTTGGCAAATAGTTTTTCCATCTATTGTTGATCTTGAACTATTAGCCCAAGAAAAACTGTGTCTTCTCCAGTGTTTTTGTGAGAACTATGTGGCTTCTATATTGACTGGTATCTCCCTTCTTTCTATGGCTTGTAACCAAATTACACAACACTTGTGTGCCATTAAATCTCAAGAAGTGGAGAGTGCTCTTGTATTGTGGGTGTAATGTGTGTGGGCAGCCTGCCCCGTGGAGGTATCCTCACTATTTTATGGATTACCTTCATGAGTTAGTAACAACAAACATCAACACAAGTGCCCTGTTGTTGTGTTTCTCACAATTCCATTACATGAAAAAGTTCAAAGGCATGGCACTTATAAAAAGGCAAGTAGGGAGGAGGTACAGCAGAGCAAATAATAATAAAATATTCATCATGGGGAGAAAATAGACATGGATATATTTGCTAGAACTGAGTCATCCACCAAAGTTGAATGATTCAGGACAAATTAAAGCAGTATATCTTCACACAGCACAATGAGGGATTCTCGATTGCAAAGCTTTCTGTTCTTGTCATGACACGTTAGTGTGCCGGCTGCAGTGTGTTGTGAGAATGTAACGAGCAATGACAAAAATCTTGGAAATGTTATTATCTTACAAATTGATATGTTAAAATATAAACAAAAGATTTTTGTGAGCGATGTTATGCTCCCCAGGCCCATACCTTTCGCTGTTACAATTTATATATCTGTATCGCTTATAAGGGTTGGTTTAACCTCCAGTTTGCTAGTAAAACTGAATTATTGTGTCATAAAACGATGCATGCCTAAAAACTATGCCACCAACATTGAATGTTTGGAAAGCTCTGCTCTACAAGATGCAATGGCAGCAGCCGAACAGATTCAACAAATTCAGGCCTCTGGACTAACCTAGCATAACGCTTCCTCTGTTATGTTTTGACAGTGGATTAAAGTTGTGAATACAAAAATGTAAATAAACATCATGAAATAGGAGTTTGTGTTTCCAAGACTTATTCCCACGAATATTGAGATTCTGAACAAAATAGTTACAAATGCCTATAAATTCACAATATTAATTCTGTCCGGTTTTATTTTTCAGGTTAATATGTCAGTCCCTAGTTCTCTTGATAATGAATGGTACATGATCATTCTATGTGGTGGTTGGTACATAGTTAATTTGCGAATCAGCATAGCATTGTGGTTTGAGCATTGGGTTATGACTCTGGAATCATAGAATCATAAAGTTGGAAGAGACCTCATGGGCCATCCAGTCTAACCCCTGCCAAGAAGCAGGAAATCGCATTCAAAGCACCCCCAACAGATGGCCATCCAGCCTCTGTTTAGAAACCTCCAAAGGAGCTTCCCCCACTGCTGAACGGCTCTCTTAGTTAGGAAGTTCTTCCAAATATTCAGGTGGAATCTCCTTTCCTGTAGTTTGAAGCCATTGTTCCATGTCCAGGGCAGTAGAAAACAAGCTTGCTCCCTAAGATTTCCCCCTCACATATTTATACATGACCCTCATTATGTCTCCTCTCAGCCTTCTCTTCTGCGGGCTAAAAACGCCCAGCTCTTCAAGCCGCTCCTTGCAGGGCTTGTTCTCCAGACCCTTGATCATTTTAGTCGCCCTCCTCTGGACACATTCTAGCTTGTCAACATCTCCCTTCAATTGCGGTGCCCAGAATTGAATACAGTATTCCAGGTGTGGTCTAACCAAGGCAGAATTGGGGGGCAGCATGACTTCCTTGGATCTAGATACTATATTCTTATTTATGCAGGCCAATATCCCACTGGCTTTTTTTTGCCGCTGCATGACGTTGTTGGCTCGTGTTCAACTTTTTGTCCACGAGGGTTCCAAGATCTTTTCACAAGTACTGTTGTCAAGCCAGGTGTCCCCATTCTGTATCTTTGGTGAAACCAGGGTTCAAATCCCCACTTAGCCATGTCAACCCCACTAGGTAATCTTGGGCAAGTCACACTTTCACAGCCATTGCCAAAGGCCAACCCCATAATAGCGTATGGACACCATACAATGGGAACCACTTGAAGGCACACAATGGCCCTTCTACATTGCCCTATATCCCAGGATCTGATCCTAGATTATCTTCTGAACCCAGATTATATGGCAGTGGAAACTCATATAATCCAGTTCAAAGCAGATAACCTGAGATCAGATCCTAGGATATAGGGCGGTGTAGATCCAGTCTATAACATACTTCAACCCTACAATTCAGAGTCTCAGATTCGGAGTTTCTGGTGCAAATTGAGAAGTATATTTGGTCTGAGAATGGTGCACGTGTATGCTAGGAAAAGGCTAAATTAGGAAGACAGGAATGCAAATGCACCACTTGATGAATTCCTACTGTTTTGGGTTTTTTTTGTTCAGTCTCTCAACGTGTTTAAAGTGCAAGTTCTTAGTTTTGCAATCAGTAAATAACCATACTTTTTTACAGTGTGCATTTGAATGACCACAATGGAGCTGAAATTAGACTAGGCAGCAAGAACACATAACACACTGTAAATGAATAGTAGCCTTAACATGCCATACATGCGGGAGCCACTATGTACTTTTTTATTGTGTCAGAAGTGACTTGAGTAACTGCAAGTTGCTTCTGGTGTGAGCAAATTGGCCATCTGCAGAGACGTTGCTCAGGGGATGCCTGGATGTGTCACCATCCTGTGGGAAGCTTCTCTCATGTTCCCGGATGGGAAGCTGGAGCTGACAGACAGGAGCGCACCCTGTCTCGCAGATTCAAACCGCAAACCTTCAGGCCAGCAGTTCAGCCGGCACACGGGTTTAGCCCACTGCACCACTGTGATGCCTATGTACCTAGAGAGCCAGTGTGGTTTAGTGGTTTGACTGTTGGACTAGGACACTGGGATACCTTCCACACAGCTGAATAAAATCCCACATTTTCTACTTTATTATTATTATTACTGCACTTGTAGACCGCCGTTCTCAGCCCTAGGGCGACTCACTTTGAACTGGCATATATGGCAGTATGGATTCAGACAACCCAGTTCAAAGCGGATTTTGTGGGATTTTCTGCTTTGATATTCTGGGTTATAGGGCTGTGTGGAAGGGCCCTCAGGCTACTTCTGCACTGCCATATAATCCACATTTTCAAAGCAGATAATTTCACATGCTCTGCTTTGAACTGGATTATACGAGTCTATGCTGCCGTATAATCCAGAGCATATAATCTGGATTATTATATGGCAATGGAAAACGGGTCAGAGGGCGCTTTCACACAGTCCTATATCCCAGAATATCAAGGCAGAAATTCCCACAATATCTGCTTTGAACATGGTTATCTGAGTGAGTCCACACTCAGATAATGTGGGATTTCCTGCCTTGATACTCAGGGATATAGGGCTCTGTGGATGGGCCCTTAAGAGACCAGGGTTCAAATCCTTCCTTGGTCATGGAAGCCCATTGAGTAACTTTGGGCAAGTCACATTCTCTCAGCCTCAGAGTCACAATCCCTCTGTCCCATATGTAAAAAAAAATTGCAAGCTTGGAAGGACAAAACATAGACATAACAATGTATCTATTTAAAAACGAATAAAAACACATAAAGCAGGGGGTCACTGTATCCCAGGCCTGGGCAAACTTGGGCTTTCCCTCCAGGTGTTTTGGACTTCAACTCCCATCATTCCTAACAGCTTCAGGTCCCTTAAGCGGCTGAGGGGGAAAAGAAAGGGACCTGAAGCTGTTAGGAATGATGGGAGTTGAAGTCCAAAACACCTGGAGGGAAAGCCCAAGTTTGCTCAGGCCTGTTGTATTTGAAAGAAAGCAGGTGCCTTCGTTTCCAAAGAGAGGCCTACTCGGAAGAAAAAGGCGGGAAACCCCTCCTTCCCCAGTTTCTGCCCTCAGGAGCAGCAAGGCCCAAAGCGCGCTTTTGCGTTGCCATGGCGACCCTTGAGGCGACGAGGGCATGGCGGCCGAGGAGAAAGAAGCCACCGCCGCGGGTAAGCAGCCTTTTTGGTCTTGTAAGCCCGGCTCAAGCAAGGATAAGATGGCACGGAGAGGAGAGGAAGACCATGGGAAGGCAACGCGGGCCTGGCTATCGCCCACTCCCCGCCGCCGCCCTCTTTCTCCTCGCAGCGGGCCTTCTGCTTCTTTGAACATGGCATGGCTTCCCTCCTCCTCTGAATGGCGGCCTCTGTCGCAGGCTCCCTGCCTTCCTTCCTTCCTCACGCGACTCCCCTGCAGGCACAATACGTAGCCGCTCCCTCAGGAAGGAAAAGGGTTTTAAGACATCATATTGGCTATCCATGCAATTACAGTTCTATTATGTGATGGAATACGAGCGATTCCACTCTTCATGGCATGCAGGAAAGAATAGGGGGTACTTTCTGATGGGCACTTAGGAAATACATTGAAAGGTGAGCAGATCATGTATATGTATTATTATTACAATATGGCACAATATTTAAAACAGAATTAAATATTTGTTTGGCTGTTTCTTCAAAAAAAAGTAGACAATTTATTGTTGAAGGCTTTCATGGCTGGAATCACTGGGTTGTTGTAGGTTTTCGGGCTATATGGCTATGTTCTAGAAGCATTCTCTCCTGACATTTCGCCTGCATGTATGGCAAGCATCCTCAGAGGTTTTGCCGGTCCAGTTCCGAGCACAATTCAAACTGCTGGTTTTGACCTATAAAGCTCTATATGGCTTACCTGTCTTAATGTACCCGCCTGTGGAACTCACTCCCCAGCGAAATCAGGTCAACAACAACCCTCCTTGCCTTAAGGAGGAAATTGAAAATGTGGTTATGGGGCCAGGCCTTTGGGTACTCAAGCCCTATACGACTCTGGCCCAGCTAACCTGTCCAAACGTATCTCCCTCTGCGTCCCACCTCGAAGTTTAAGATCTTCTGGGGAGGCCCTGCTCTCGGCCCCGCCTTTGGCGCAAACACGCTTGGTGGGGATGAGGGACAGGGCCTTCTCGGTGACGGCCCCCCCGCCTGTGGAACTTGCTCCCCAGCGAAATCAGGTCAGCAACATCCCTCCTCACCTTCAGGAGGAAATTGAAAATGTGGTTATGTGACCAGGCCTTTGGGTACTCAAGCCCTATACGACTCTGGCCCAGCTTACCTGTCCAAACATATCTCCCTCTATGTCCCACCTCGAAGTTTAAGATCTTCTGGGGAGGCCCTGCTCTCGGCCCCGCCTTTGGTACTAACACGCTTGGCGGGGATGAGGGACAGGGCCTTCTCTGTGACGGCCCCCCACCAGTGGAAATCGCTTCCCAGCCAAATCAGGTCAACAACATCCCACCTCGCCTTCAGGAGGAAATTGAAAATGTGGTTATGGGACCAGGCCTTTGGGTACTCAAGCCCTATACGACTCTGGCCAAGCTTACCTGTCCGAACGTATCTCCCTCTACGTCCCACCTCGAAGTTTAAGATCTTCTGGGGAGGCACTGCTCTTGGCCCCGCCTTTGGCGCAAACACGCTTGTTGGGGATGAAGGACAGGGCCTTCTCGGTGATGGCCCCCCACCTGTGGAACTCGCTCCCGAGCGAAATCAGGTCAGTAACATCCCTCCTCGCCTTCAGGAAGAAATTGAAAACGTGGTTATGGGACCAGGCCTTTGGGTAGCTGGCAGATAATTGACAATGGTGATGATGATGATGATGATGATGATGATGATGATGATAAAAACTTTGTTTATACCCTGCCCAAGGGGACTCGGGGCGGCTTCCATGAGGCCAAGCCCAACCACACATCAGTTAAACAACAACGCAGTAAGCAAATAAAACAATAGAATTAATATAACTCACATATAAGCAATAACACACAAAATTTGAAACCTTATGGCTGAGCCAGATGTAATAAATTAAATTTTTTAAAATAAACACTGGGGGTTTTATTTTCTCGTGTCAGGGCAGCCAGTCAATTATATTACATTTCTAACAGAACAAAGCACACAAACAGAGAAAATACAAAATGTGTGAGTTTGGTAGTTGATTAAATGTCCTTTGACCAGTATCTGGCCACTTGGAGTGCTTCTGGTGTTGCTGCAAGAAGGTCCTCCATTGTGCATGTGGCTGGGCTCAGGTTGCATTGCAGCAGGTGGTCTGTGGTTTGCTCCTCTCCGCACTCACATGTCGAGGATTCCACTTTGTAGCCCCATTTCTGAAGGTTGGCTCTGCATCTCGTGGTGCCAGAACGCAGTCTGTTCAGCACCTTCCAAGTCGCCTAGTCCTCTGTGTGCCCAGAGGGGTGAACAGAGGTAGGATGTATCTAAGCAGGAGGGTTTTAAAAGATTTGGGAAACCTCATTTGCTCAGAGGCGTCTGCCTGCAAGGTAGGGTGCATCTACACCAGGCCTGGGAAAAATTCGGCCCTCCAGGTGTTTTGGACTTTAATTCCCACAATTCCTAACAGACGGTGAAGGTGGATGTGCCAGGCTCTTCTGCATTTGCACCCCCGGCAATTACGCACTGTGCTAAAGTACTGAAAATGCTAGAAGAAAGGCACAGTACGTCAAAGGGAAACCTTTACCTTTACTTTAAGAGACTACAGCTCCCTTGGCTGAGAATTTTGTATACTCCTCCCTAAACTGTAAAGCCCAGGATTCTATAGCTGGCATGGGTAAATTTTGACTCTCCAGCCGGTAGGCTGTTAGGAATTGTGGGAGTTGGAGTCCAAAAAACCTGGAGGGCCAAAGTTTGTTCTATAGGTTAGAATCATGGTAGCCCAATTAGAATTATAGTGAGCCCTTGCTATTGGCTAGGGTTGGCTCCTAGGATCCCCATGGATCTTCAAGTCACATTATATACACATTATAATGGTGTATTTTAAAACAGTTGATGGTAGAACCTGTGGATGCAGAACTGTATCTTGTTGTAAATGTGTAGTGTGGAGTTAATAAGAGAAAAAATCCAGCTCTTTTCCTATAGCTAGAATAATATCATCTGCAGGGGTCCTTTAAAGATCCCTACAGATGCTTGTCCCTGTGCATCCAACTATAGGAAAACAACCTGACATTTTGGAAGGACTATAGTTGACAAAAGGTAAGCATGAGAGATTTGATGGGAGATTGTTGTAGTAATATATCTACATCTCCTGATGCTATAATGTACCAGTATTAGAATGATGTGTTCTAGCAAAGTAAGACTCTTAAAAAAAACCTAATTGCTTGCTATACCCGCTCCAGGGTGATGGCTTATCTTCCCTTCACTAAGCATATCAATGATCTTTTGAGGAAGACCTTTAAGATAAAGTATACTGCTTTGAGAACTGTGGTACACAAGGAAATTTGCATATAGCAATTTTGTTCAAACTCCTCTCTCTCAATCATTAAGTGACTACACATGCATATTACTTACTAATGAAGTCTAATATTCGCCAGGGATCTAGGGATCTCATGATAAGCTATATAGATGGTGAACCTCATAAAATAGTCATACAATAGGCATGATTTGGATCCGTAAAAATTAATCAGGTGCACTTGAAGTCTATGGCAAAGTTTAATGTAATTTAAAAGTGAAAGGTGTTGTGAATAAAAGCTCCGAGAGGATCAGGATTTCAGGGATGCAGTTAAGCTGAGGGTTCTCTAAAATCAATAACAGTACCTCCCTATGTAGAGTTTTAAGGTATTCTAAGTTTTGGAGAAACAATATCGAGGACCATACTAGCAATGCTGTTGATGTAGTCAGCTGTGCATGCAAATTAATACTTTGCCCCATCGCAGGCTACTTGTGAGTTGTAGGAGTCATGTCTTCTCTTTGCAGTGGCTTGAGCCTTTATTTTAGTGGGCATTCTCGAACCATACCTACATTTGGCTCTAGTGTATTAGAAATAACTGGTGTGGGATCCATAGTTTATACTCAGATCTTGGCAAGGGAAAAGAATGGAACAAAATCTATGTACTCCGAACACATAGTAACTGATCAAGTTTGCATTACATGAAATTGTGAACGTTAGGGCTATAGATGGGCTTAATATCACGTCTTGTTTGATTCTAAACTCACTGTACTAGGAAAAAAAATACCAAAGCCATTCCAAATCTGAGTTTCCAAATAGTGATAAAAACAACAAAATTCATAGTCAGACTGGCATTAAAAAGAGAATTAGAATGAATATAAATTGCATCACAATTCCTAGTTTTGCTTAATACTAACTGGATGAGCAGTTCCAGAAAACAAAAAAGGTTGATTTTTTTGCTGGGCTTTAGCACAGCAGGTTAATCACCAAGCTGCAAGAAATCTTGCCAACCAGAAGGCTGATCATTCGAAGCCCGGATCAGGGTGAGTTCCTGACCTTTCAGCCCAGCTTCTGCCAACTTAGCAGATTGAAAACAAATATGGGAGTAGATAAATAGGAATCGCATTAAAGTAGGGAGGTATTTTAAGGCAAGGAGTTTCAATCAGATAAAGGAGGATGTTTAGAAGCAAAGAAAAATGCTCTTCGGCAAGTAGATGGAGCAACAGCACCCCCCTGTGGCCGGAACCGAGCACAGCCTCCAAAGATGCCGAAATACGGGAAAGCCTAAATAAATATCTCTATCTGTTGTCTGTCTTGTCATTGTACAACCAATATTGAATATTTACCATATATGTGTTCTGTGATCCGCCCTGACTCCCCTTTGGGGTGAGAAGGGTGGAATATAAATACGGTAAATAAATAAATAAAAAGAATTATTGCATTTAATTGTCTTAATAAAAATACTGCCCTGCTATGGGTTTTCAGAAAAAAGTAAAAACACAAGTTGTTATTGATTTCTAAAATACATGTTTTCTTTTCGTTTGCAGAATCTGCAGTAGCAGAAATCCAAAAGAAAATAACAGATGCTTTTGAAGTTTTTGACCATGAGTGCAACAAAACTGTGGATGTCAGGTTTGGAAGAACTTACTTTCAGAAATATCACCATATTTTAGGCCAATAGTAGAGAACCTTCTTCAACACAAAGGTCAATTTCAGCTTCAGAGAAGTTGGAGTTACAGTTTCATTGGCAGATGTGTCCATGTCCAAATACCAGAGCAAAAAGATTTCAGTATATTTTATCTGAAAGCTTTTGTTTTCTATAAAAAGGCTGTACAGGCATTTCAGCCTTTTGAAATGGAGAATAAAGTCTTGTAAAAGCAAAAAATTGTGACCCCTGAAGAGCCAGATTTGCCCCCCTTCTGTTTTAAACAGTGGTAATGCTGCAAAATTTAATAGCTCCAGTAAGAAATCAGTATTTATAATGTATTGTCGAAGGCTTTCATGGCCGGAATCACTGGGTTGTTGTAGGTTTTTTTGGGCTATATGACCATGTTTTAGAGGCATTTTCTCCTGATGTTTTGCTTGCATCTATGGCAAGCATCCTCAGAGGTAGTGACCTCACTACTTCTGAGGATGCTTGCCATAGATGCAGGCGAAACGTCAGGAGAAAATGCCTCTAGAACATGGTCATATGGCCCGAAAAAACCTACAACAACCCAGTATTTATAATGACTAAGAAAGAAAACTAGTTATTCTGTACAGGTAATCATTCTAGGTAATCATTGCAATACATTATATGATAAGATTATAAGTGTAAAACCAGTACTATATTGCAGGTAGTAAACTGAAATATATATGTGGAGAGTTTAGAGGTATAAGAATGGTAAATTTTTCACCCTTGATGAGGAATTTCTGCACACACTGGGACATTCTGTCAAAAAACAATGTGCTAATTTCAGCAAGGTCTTTACTTCTTAGGGGAAAGTAAAAGGATGAACACTCATCTCCCCTGATTAATTCCCTAATCTTTTGCACAAGAACCCACTGTACAAAACTAATACTTTCATTTTTGTCAAGCAAAAACACATGCACATTGAGCAAGGACAGAGGAACAAGATTGTTTCTTGTAAAAATATACAGATAAACTATCTAATGCATATATTCTCACTTAAAAACATATAACACACCGGAAACAGTCATATTTTCCTCAAAAATAGTTTGTGCAAAAAATCACTTGAAAATGGATGTATTTTTCCCTAAACATCATCTCATCTGGTGAGGGTAAAAAAAGTTTTTAATTCTTATTTACAAGGATGAGATAGGTAAGGATTTATATTCCTAAAATTTTCATTTTTTATATATATACGGGGGGGACAGGACGATGACAATAAAACATTAGTATGGTTGCTTAAGGCTGCTTTTAGCAGTACTTGTCAAAAGACAGTATGTACCTATTTCATGTTTCCTCTGCTTGACAGATTTTCTGTGGGCAGGAGAAAAAAAAAGACAGGAAAAGCAGGAGAAAACATAGCAGGGTACAAATGTAAATGACATAATCTGGACGTGTATAAATTTTTGTGCATGAGGCAAGGCAGTCAAATCATAAAAGCCTTATCTGAGAGTGCTTCTGCCTCAATGTGTCTTCTTGCTATTTTTATCGACTCAGTTTTCTTGCTAATGCCGCTGTCCATGCATTGATATGCCATTAAAATGCCATGTAAAATGTTTGATTTACAGAAATTCCCCCATGTCATTCACAAAAGGTTACTTGGCACAATTCCTTTATTGTCAGAAATCATAATTATTAAATTATTTAGGGGTTGAAAATTATCTTGTATTTGATTATGTTATATGTTATTTATTAAACCTTGCAAATCTATGATATGAAGAAACAAATTTCCACTTCTCAACTTCCTTGCCTGCACATTTTAATAAATATAATTAAAGGAGAATTTTCCATATTTGGAACAAAACTGACTTGGCTGTTTTCTTATTCCACATAGTGTTTGTTTCACTGATCTCAAATCCTTTCCTGTATTTTCATTTGTTCTAGTAACAAATACTTTGTGTTTTTAATCTTGTTGGATAGTGTTATTACCAAATTACTGGTATTTAACAAAATTATTTTGAAGAGCACTCACACTCTCTCTCAAGACCAGAGTGCTGAATAAACCTGAGATGCTTTTAATAAAAGTGGCTTGGGACCTACAATAAGTGAATGGAAGAATACTTAAGGAAAGAAAGGGTTTCCTGTCCCCTCTTCTTCTCTGTAGCCACTTGTAGCCCCAGAAAACTTTTTTTGTGAAGTTGAGTATTTCTGTTCACTGTGGATGTGGGTCATACAGAACTGACAGGAGAGGAGATAACTGATCAGAACATTTATATTGTACTGTGGATTTACTAACAAATATATTTTCTTTTAGGGAAATTGGCACAATCATTAGATCATTAGGCTGTTGCCCAAGCGAGGGGGATCTACATGATATGCTTGCAGAGGTAGTTTATGTTTACATAATTTATATTTTGCAGGTTCTATTTTATAATTTTTTACAGAAAATTGTCCTCTTTTCCCTACCTTTCCATCCACCATCAGTTGTGGCAGAGACTATCTCATGCTGGACTCCTGCCTTCATCGGAGAAATGGTCCTTATCCTTGCTTCAAGATATTCCTATTCCAAGTCCCAAACTGTATTTAAAGATTTAACTGGCAATTAGTGAACAGTTTCTGAACAGGGAACCTAGAAAGAAATGCATGTTGAGAATTTGCTTTTGCTTTTAAGAGCAAACAAGGACAAAGAACTTCCTAACTGTGAGAGCTGTTCAGCCATGGAACTCCCTGCCCTGGAGTGTGGTGGAGGGTCTTTCTTTGGAAGCGTTTAAACAGAGACTGTATGGCCATTTGTCTGGGTGCTTTGAATACAATTTTCCTGCTTCTTGGCAGGGTATCGGACTGGATGGCTCACGATGGCCATCCAATCCAATGATTCTAAATTAAGAATGATCTGTAGCAAGAATGGGGAACATGTACACCAAATGTTGTTAGAGTGCGGCTTGCATCATTCCTCATCTTTGATGGTGCTGACCAGGGCAGTTTAGAACTAAAGTCCAGAAAGATCTGGAGAGCAACACATTTCCAGTCACTAATTTAAAGGCCTAATTTCTCTTTCCACTGCTAAAGCCATGTGTGGAACCTAACCCTGTTCCACTAAGACACAGGCAGAAGAGGCCCACACTGTGAGCCCCTGAAGTGTTCCTTCCATGGATCTTCTACACTGATCCAGACTCTCCATAGAAGCAACCATGTATTTTACGTGGAGAAGCATAAGGCATACCTGTGCCCAGTGAGAAAAAAGGGAGGGGGCAAGGAATGATCTTTACAATCTTATTTCCCCTTCATTTCTATTTACTTGCATAGTATACATCCAAATTTCCCAGCAGGGTTTTATGGAAAAACGATAAGATCGGTATCTTGCCTTTAATATTTCATGCAGCCATTGACTAGTTCCAAGTGAACTTGCTTTTCTTTCAGTTTTCTATTGTGTCATTTAAATACATACTGTTTTTAAAAAAATTATAATTGTTTAGGTAGAAGAAGAAGAACCAACTGGGTTCATTCGTTTGGAAAAATTTCTTCCTATGATGACCAGATTATTAATGGAAAGAAGGTAATAGGATAAAGAGGGTTTCAATTTATATAATTGAGTAATATATTTATTACTGATTTTAATTATGTTTGTCTTATAGCTAGAAAGATAAAAACAATTTTGGTAAGCTCCATATTGATAAAAATTAGTTTTTACATTATTTTTAGATAACTACTAGAAAGGGTGCTATTGGCAGGGAAAACAAGCCTGTAAAATGTTGTATAGTAATCTTTTTTAAGATTATCACTCTAAATTGGATCTTGCTAATAATGTCTACACTTTTTCAGAGATTGGTAATACCTAATGTCTCTTCTGAACTCATTTCTGTTTCTTTTCCTTTCATGTTTGGGATTATGTATAGTTTCTCCATGATTTGTCAGTCCATTTCTAAGATACTGCTTATTGTAGGGTGAGCCATAAATTAGGTTCACATAATGTTCCATTAAAATGTAGTTATAGTCATAATTTTATGCGGATTGCAAAGACAAATGTGATTTTTTACAATTCAGGGCTGAAAGGCAGGCTTTGAAAGTACTGGAATGTATTTTCAGATGCATGTTGAAACACAAATTTTATTAACTGAATGATTTCAGATTCCGGCCAATTCCAGAAGATATTCTGTTGCGTGCATTTGAGGTATGTATCAACAAAATTCTCCTTAATGGGGAAAATAGTACTTGCATGTTGAGATAGTGGAAGTAAATTCATTCATGTTTTATGTTTTCCCCTTTAAAAAGGTTTTAGATCAAAATAAATGTGGACATCTTACTAAGGATGAGTTGATCAAGTATATGACTGAAGAAGGTAAAATATGTATTTACTAAAATTAGCTATGTGTTTGAGAAAATAAGTTAGTCATTGTATAGAATCGTGAGTGTCTGTTTGACAGTCAGCCAAGGCACAGTCCTATGCTAATTGTCACACATAGATATTCACCTGTGGTTGCTGTACGTCAATAAAATGTGATTTGAAAACACATTCTCTCTTCCTCTCGTTCTCTCTTTTTCTTTCTCTCTCTTGAACATACATACGCTCTAACAAAGACATGGTAGGGATGGGCCAAGTACAGTCATGAGCCACATGCAGCTCAGCAAGGCCACTTTTTCAGACCTCGATGGGCTCTCATATCGACTGTCCAAATTTTTGGGAGGATGATTCCCTCCTAAAGGCCAATAGAGTACATAAGGTGATTGTTGAGCATTTTGTCATTTCAAATAATTTTTGTTGCCATCACCTTTTGTTAGGTTTATAGAGGCCTCCCGTAGCCTTTGCCAGCACTGCATTTGTGTCCCATGCCCTTGCTCATTAGCTACAATTTGCACTATCCATTCCCTTGTTATTGTTTAAAGTTGGCCACGTTTTACGACAGTTCTCACCATAGGTTATTGGGAGCTGTTTTGAGTTTAAATTATTAAATCATTGTTTTATATGATAATAGTTTTATTTTGTATTGTACTGTGTGTTTATTTTATTTGTTGTTTTAGGCACATTGTGCCATATGTAAGCCTCCCTGAGTCCCTTCGGGGAGATGGAGGTGGGGTACAAAATAAAGTTATTATTATTATTATTCAACAAAGCAAGAGATGAACAGGAGCTTTCTAATTTGCAAAACAAAAATGTGTATGAATCATAGAAGAATAGAGTTGTAAGAGAACATATGGGCTATTTAGCCCAAACCCCTGCCATGTAGGCAAAGCACAAAGTACCCTTGACAGATAGCCATCCAGCTTCTGTTTAAAAGCCTCCAAAGAAGGCGCTTCCGCCACACTCTGAGACTGAGATTTCTGAACAGCTCTTAGAATCAGGAAGCTCTTCCAAATGTTCAAGTGGATCTCTTTTCCTGTAATTTGAACCCATTGCTCTGAGTCCTAGTTTTCAGAGCAGCTTAAAACAAGCCTGCTCCCTCTTCCTTATGACATCCTTTCACATATTCATACATGGCTATCATGTCTCCTCTCAACCTTCTCTTCTGCAGGCTCAACACACTTAGCTCTTTAAGACCCTTTTCATTGGGCATGGTCTCCTGACCTTTGATCGTTTTAATCACCCTCCTCTAGACACCTTCCAGGATGGCAATATTTCTTTTAAATTGTGATGTCCAGAATTGGACACCTCATTCCAGGTGTGTCTGAAAAAGTGAAGCAAGGGAAAACACCCAAACATTTTGGTTAAATGATCAATAAATAGTATTCCTCAGAATACTATTTGTCTATTAGCTAACTGGACACAATATATATTTTTTTTCTGTAGGCAAAGGGGCAACAAATGTGGCATACAGCACTCCAGGGTCTTGAGTGGGTCTAGTTCAAGCTCCCAGTTCTTGGCAGTTGTTCAGTCCATAATTAACAATGAGCAACTATAAGTCCTAGAATAAATTCATTTTATTCATTACATGGCTTAATTATATAGTAGCAAAACTCCATTCATAAAGGAGTCTTGGTTGCTACTGAATATACCCTGTATATTGATTTTGGTTTTGTAGAAATTTAATATCCTGCTCTTCAGACTGTTCCCAAGGTAGTTTACAAAATATTATTAAAACAGCGACAGAAGAATAAAAATCAATCCAACTATTTAAAAAAAACTTTAAAAGTGAAGACAACATTATTAAAGACATACAGAACATTTTTTTCTTTTGTTGCAATAGAAGATATGAATGTAGGCCTGAATCTTACTATGGGAAAGCAGGAAAATTGCAGGAGACTAGGGAAATTGTGCATTTTTCTCAGTTGCACTTAAGTCTGTGTTTTACAATGTTTGATGTAATTTTAATCCACAAGTATGGATAAAAATTAACAAAGAAATCTTGAGATACTAATCTTGAGATTTTAAGTATTATTTTTTCTGCTACAGGCGAGCCTTTTACACAGGAAGAAATGGAGGAAATGCTCTCCGCTGCTGTAGACCCAGAAACTAATACGGTTCGCTATAAAGACTACATTTCAATGATGGTTGTAGATGAAAATTAAGCCCTCTGTTTACTTTCTGCTTTTTATCTGCCCAATTAACTTCATGGGATTGCAGCAAACCTTCAACACTAAAAGGATTTTATTTTTTTTTGTCTATATTACAGATTTAGTGGAAATAATGCCTTTTTTATTTGGTAAAATACAAGTATCAAATTATTGTTTTAAAATGTCAGTCATCCTGGATAACTTTTACAAAATAAATAATTCAAACATTAGAGTGCACAAGTATAACAACACAAACTTACACATACTGCTTACAAATAAATTACACTGATTTCATCAAAACATTCCTCCCCCAAATGGTTGCAGATTGGGAGAACTGCCTATGATTACAGTACTAAATGTTGGTAATACTTATTGGGGAATACATTATATTGAACAACAATTTACTTTGATATAAATATGAACAGCATTGTATTATGTATGTGGTGACAAAATGATATTTGGGGGAAATATTAATAATTCAATCAGATGTAGAAAAAACTAGGGAAAGGGGGAACTTTCTTAGAAATTAAAATTCATGGCTTCAGTTGATCCTTATCTTTGTTTAGCACAGACATGAACTTGATGGTAAATTTATGAAAATTCTAAAGAAGGAGCTGAAAACTTGTACCCTCCCCATGATATTGGACTGCAGTTACCAGGATCCCCCATCATTATTTATACTAACTGGGGTTGATGGGAAGTGCAGTCCAAATAACATCTTGGTGACCACAAATTGTTCTCCCCCAAACATGTTGTTTTTGAAAGTGTGGCTTCTTTAAGGAAGCTATGAAAAGTTCTGTTGAATAGCCAAACTCCACCTAGCTTTTGGTGTTAAAAGTCTGAAATTCTTGGGGTAGCTTTTGCTTAATGGATTTTCTGGAACTACAACAGCATTGGTGAAGATACTTGACTTCAAAACATTTTTGTACCATACTACAAAGGAAAGGGAGTTTGTTGATTTGCAGATATGCTGCAATACCACTTGGTTTACACAGGGTATGTTTTCTGTTATTCATCCCAGGGGATTAGTTTGCATTTAAGAAGACTCCTGATTAAATTGTGGTATGCTGTAAAGTTCTCTTCAGACCATGATAACTCACAGTGTCTTGATACACTTTTGTATTTATCTCAGTATAGGCCTGGGAGGCCTCAGTTAAGAGCTGAACTCCATTGTGTTTAAGGCTTTTTACAAACATTGGGAGACACCTGCCCGAAACTTGGCAAACAAAGTAAAAACAAAGCAGTGGATGAGATCACAAGGCATGATGTCACAGAGATCTGAGGGGGAAAAAACTAAATCAGATTGTTAGTTTAACCTAAATTAGACCAATTGAATAAATAAAACTGAATCGCTGAGACTTGCTTCAGTGCTAATTTAACAAGAGATGTTCTTTGAATTGGTTTATTCTATTGAGAATAGCTGATTTAGTTGAGTATAATTTATGGATCCAACTAATGTTACAAATGCTTCAGGCATAAAGTTTTGAGTTGGTTAGAAAATTCTTTTTGCTCCCCTCTCCCCCGAGCACTCTTACTAATTGTCTTCTCGGCCAATAAAGTCAATACCTGTAGTTCCCCTGCTTCTGTTTTCATTTTCTGTTCTAAGCACAGCACACAGTCTTCCTTGTTTCTTGGACCTCTGATGCTTCCCCAGGATTATTTATAACATCATGGTAATTGATGAATGCAGAAGTATTAGAAGGGTTTCACACTACTGCCAATATGGGATAAACATCTTGTATCATAAAAAGTGTAGCCTCTTTTGATGTAATGGTGCATAAATCTAACTAGATGTTTTACAAATGGATGCACAGCTACCAGTGCAAACTATACTTCACTCATCTTTATGCACATTCTTCAATTTGTAGAAACAACATCTTTTTTTTTTGGAAGCTGACATTCAAGGTAAGAAAAACTGAAAGTTTTCCCTTCATTTAGTGCAAGTGGGACTCCCGAGGCAGAATGGATTGAAAAAGAAAGAAGTAACAACCGCTGAACTGCTGAACTTGCTAACTGAAAGGTCGCAGGTTCGAATCCGGGGAGGAGGGTGAGCTCCTGCTGTTAGCCCCAGCTTATGCCAACCTAATAGTTCAAAAACATGCAAATGTGAGTAGACCAATAGGTATTGCTCCAGCAGGAAGATAACGGTGCTCCATGCAGACATGCTGGCCACATGACCTTAGAGGTGTCTACAGACGCCAGCTCTTCGGCTTAGAAATGAAGATGAGTACCATCCCCCAGAATCGGACACTACTGGACTTAATGTCAGGGGAAAACCTTTACCTTTACCTAACAATACTGCAAGTCTACTGATTTTGAAAAACTGATTTCAGGGGCATATTTCTACAAGAGTACTGCAATCTCTCCAACTGTGAACTGACAGTACTGAAGACTTTTGAGTGAGGGCAGTTTGTTCTCCTTCATGGCTAGAAAAATAGTCATCCACAGGAAGGGCAGTCAGTTTGGCCACCTATTGTATATTTATCACAGTAGCTATAACAGCTGCTAAGGGCCCATCCAGACAGTACCTTTATCCCAGGAGCTTCTGCAGCAAACAGGAGGGTGGCCAGATGCCGGTTCCTGTAAACACGGAAGCAGTCACTACAAACAGCAAAAAAGTGAGAATTTCAGGTGTGGGAATATCCCAGTTCTGAGCCGATCTTCATCTTTGAATGTCTATGCCCCTGCAATCAGAAATCACGGGATTTTTAATCTGGGTTTGTTCCTGGGTTTTAGATGTTTGTTCCTGATTGGTCGGTTCCTAAAAAGAAGGTGACACTTGAGTAGAAGGAAAAAACTTTGTATTATCGAAGGCTTTCATGGCTGGAATCACTAGGTTCTTGTGGGTTTTTTTCGGGCTATAGAGCCATGTTCTAGAGGCATTTCTCCTGACGTTTCGCCTGCATCTATGGCAAGCATCCTCAGAGGTAGTGAGGTCTGTTGGAATTAGGACAATGGGTTTATATATCTGTGGAATGGGTGGGGTGGGGCAAGGAGCTCTTCTCTGCTGGAGCTAGGTGTGAATGTTTCAACTGACCACCTTCATTAGCATTTGAAGGCCTGGCTGAGCCTGGGAAAATCTCTTGCTGGGAGGTGTTAATCTGTGCCTGGTTGTTTCCTCTCTGTTGTTTTGCTGTTGTAATTTTGGAGTTTTTGGAGTTACATAGGGACCACCAAACGCAGCGTCCAGACACGCATCAAGGAACATGAAAGGCACTGCAGACTACTTCAACCAGAGAAGTCAGCCATAGCAGAGCACCTGATGAACCAGCCTGGACACAGCATATTATTTGAGAACACAGAAATGCTGGACCACACAAACAACCACCATGTCAGACTACACAGAGAAGCCATTGAAATCCACAAGCATGTGGACAATTTCAACAGAAAGGAAGAGACCATGAAAATGAACAAAATCTGGCTACCAGTATTAAAAAACTCCAAAATTACAACAGCAAAACAACAGAGAGGAAACAACCAGGCACAGATTAACGCCTCCCAGCAAGAGATTTTCCCAGGTTCAGGCAGGCCTTCAAATGCTAATGAAGGTGATCAGCTGAAACATTCACACCTAACTGCAGCAGGGAAGAGCTCCTTGCCCCACCCCAGCCATTCCACAGATATATAAACCCATTGTCCTAGTTCCAACAGACCTCACTACCTCTGAGGATGCTTGCCATAGATGCAGGCGAAACGTCAGGAGAAATGCCTCTAGAACATGGCTCTATAGCCCGAAAAAACCCACAAGAACCTAGGAAAAAACTTTGTTTGTGTGCTATAAACTTCATGAAATGTGTGTAGGGCTAATTTTCATTGGCCAGGACAAAGTTGTAGCTCCCTAGTCAACGTTTTACATTTTTTTGCAATAAGAACAATCAGGAACAGACATTTATAACCCAGGAACACCACTCTGTCTGCGTTGATGGCCCTGCAGCTTATATAACCCAGGAACAGAACTTACACAGTGATTCATATTGTTGCATGTTCTAATCTTTAGGTTTGTTTTTATTTTTTTAAAAACCTGCCAAAATGTTTTGTTAACTTGAAATCAGTAAGAAAATAGGACGACATTACAGATGGATTGATTCAAAGGAAGGCACATCCCCAAGTTTGCAAGATTTTATAAGGGCTTTTAATAACAAAGTCTCTTGGGGATCTCTCATTATTAGAGTCATCATCATTGATCAAAACCAGATTGACAGCAAACAATAGTTTATTCAAACATTTTCTTAACAGGTTTTAGTTATACCTTTTTTCATTTATATTGTAAGCCACCATTGATCCCAGGTGATGAGAAAGTTGGGATATAAATTAATTAAAATAATACAACAACAATAGACAATTTAGACAGAAAAACAAGAAAGCTCATGACCATTCATAATTCACTGCATCCTTGCAGTGATGTTGACTGGCTCTATCTGCTCTGATGGCAGAGGACTCTTACAAGTAAAACAAGCAGTTGAAGAAGAAAAACACATCCTGGTAGAATATGTCAAGAAAAGCCAAGAACCTGCTTTAATTAAAGTAAGTAATCGGAAACTTCTCAAAGCACAGCAGACCGAATCAGTACAAGAAAACTGCACTACAAACCAGAGCTGACAGCTTGGACAACAAAGCGTTGCATAGGCGGTTCCTTGACAAAACAGAAGGAAAAGTTCAGGGAGAAGACCTGGTTATGGCTCATGAGTGGAACACTGAAGAAGGAGACAGAAGGCCTGATTCTTGCAGCCCAGGAACAAGCCATCAGAACATGCAATTAAGGCAAGGATCAAAAAATCAGCTGATGACCCAAAATGCAGACTGCAAGAAAGCTGATGAAACCATTGATCATATCCTCTGCTGTTGCAAGAAAATCGCACAGACGGACTACAAACAAAGGCACAACTCTGTGGCCCAAATGATTCATTGGAACTTATGTCACAAGTACCACCTGCCAGCAGTAAAGAATTGGTAGGATTATAAACCTGCAAAGGTAGTGGAAAATGAACACGCAAAAATACTGTGGGACTTGAATCCAGACTGACAAAGTTGGAACACAATACATCAGACATCAAGATTATGGAAAAGAAAAAAGTTTGTGGAGTATTGAT